TATATTCGAATTCAAATCTCAAAACACATATATTCGAATTCAAATCTCAAAACACACAAACAAACACATATATATAGATATATATATTAGAGATCGGAATCGTTCATGGTGCACAAATTTGAGTTGAAACCCTCTATCGAAAGAAGGAAGAGAAGCTTGCGGAGGCTCTAAAGGATGATGAAGTCATGGAGAGGTAACGGTCGAGGATGGAGTCGATGGAGGGGTTGCCGAAGGCGAAGGTGTTGCCGGCGTTGGAGAAGGTGATGACGGCGGCTTCGGTGCCGCACAAGTTGCAGAGCTCGCCGGTCTTCTTGAAGAGGCCATCTGTGGAAAGGAAGATAGTGGGAAAGAGAGTGGGTATAATAGTCATATAAAATATTTAAATAATAAATTTATCCTTTACGCAAGACTTTATAATTATGAGGAGGTTTAGAAAGTATAATTTTTTTCTTAGTCCTTTTAACAATGAAAGCAAAACAGTGCGGGTTTATAGCCAAATTTCCCAAAAGAGATAGCTAACTTCCAAAATAAGCCAAATGTCACCATTACTTCATTCTAATTAAAAAATTTGTTATTAATTTGACTTGTACATTGCTGCGTGAGGAAGGTAGTGATAAACAAAAATGCTTTAGAGCTCTAATATAGTAGCTCTAATAGCTCTAATGGGAATGTGAGACCCATCTGATGTGATGTTTGTGCCTTATCTTGTTTTTTTTTTTTTTTTATTACTTGAACACATCACTAGAGCTCAATTAAGAGCTCTAGATTTAGAGCTCTCTAGCATCTCCCTAGTGATAAATTGTGGTTTTTATGTTTAAAATATACACACTCATAGTTTTCCAATACCGTGTGTATTTGCTCGCCGCCTTACTTCTAGTTAGATGTGATCCGAGCAAGTTTAAGTGCTTGAAGAGTATATTTTATGAAATAAATATGATTACATCAATAAGATATTCACTTTATTATTCTTGTATATAGATTCATCAGGTCTTTGAACTTTTTATTTTTTTTCAGCTTATTGAGAGGGATTGGAGTAGGAGGCACAACACGTGTTGTGAGAGGCCTGTAGGGATTGGAGTGTATTTTTATGATTTGATCCGTTTATATTGTAAGATTCGTCGAGTAAATTATACATAAAAAAATTATAGATTAATTAGATATCTATAACTCCATAACAGACCACATTTGTTTAAAAGAAAAAATAAACGATTGGTATAATTTTGATAATTTTTATAAAAAACATTTAGGGCTGACATAGGGTTATATATGTCCGATTAATCTAATAATTTTTAATAGTAATATGCTTAATAAATTTTATAATATAAATTATTCGAATTATTAAAAAAGCTTAGGACACGCCTCCCATGGTGTTGTGTCATAAGGCAAAACACTGACCATTAATCCTATTGAGGAGAGATCTTATACTTTACAACAATAGAAAAAGATGTCAAAACAAGAATAAACGAATTTTTTAATTTTACATACAATTTTTTTTATTATTATTTCTAATCATTTTTCCATGATTATATTAGTTTTAATTTAAACTAATAGAACTTTTTGAAAATATTCACACATGAAATGGGAAAAGAGTGAGTAACAAAAGAGAAGACTTTTGGCTCATTTTGAGGAGTGAGTTAAAAGTCACTTTTAATTTTAACTTATTTTTCTTTCTCATAAAAAAATTAAAAAAAAAATCAAAAAAATAAATTTTATTCATCTTCTCAAAACACCCAAAAAGTTAAGAAAAGAATCACCCAAAAAGTTAAGAAAAGGCTAGAAAAAGAATAATTTTGTTTTAAAAATACAGGATATATTGGGAGTGTTTGGCAAGTTGGGTTGGGTTATTTTTTGACTAAAATTTATAAAAAATTAAAATAAGTTAAAATAGTTAATAAGATAAAATGTCTATCAAATTTATAATCAATTTATTTTTTTCTTACAAACATCACATCTAATTACAAAAAAAAAATCTAACAATCTTTCTAAATATAAAAATTTAATATACTAAAATAATCAAAATAAAAATAACTTATTAAAATAACAACTTCTCATACACGAACGTTATAATACTAACTAAAAGTTTGATAAGTTTGACAGTAATGTGTTTTTCATTTTATGTGTGGAAATGCTTTCAAAAAGTTTTTATTGATAAAATAATTTGTTTAACCATTCCACAGTCGACACTTCATATTACAATTATTTGAAATAATTATATATTTTTATTCTATATGAAATAATAAAAATTAAATATAACACATAATTAATATAAAAAAAATTATCAAAACAAGGGATAATTTTTTTCATAAATATATAAAAAATAATACTCAAAATTAATTACATTAAGATTTATAATTATTAATAAATATCACTTTACTTTTTATTTTTTAAAACTCATACATTTTGATTTTTATAATTATAAAAATTCATATAAATAATCATCAACAATAAGTAAAATGATATTTTCGTTTGGAAGGTGGGTTGGAGGCTTTTTTGGCTATTTTAGCCACAAAAACAAAATAGGCTATTTTAGTCAAAACAAACAAAACATCAATCCAACCCATAATCATTACATTCTCTCTCACAAAAAAACTCAAAAAAGCTAAAAAGCCAAAAGCCCTTCCCAAACCAAACTTTTTAAGCCCAGGCTAAAATAGCCAAAAAAGCCAAAAAGCCAACCACTTCCAAACGGAGGCTAAATACGCAGCAAAATAAAAAGTGAAATTGGGGCAGAAAATGAAGGGTTCGTTTAAAAATTAAAGGGCTCTGTTTGGTTATATCTTCAAAATGTGATTTTATATTGAGTTTGAATATGATGTTTGGAACGTGTTTTGAAAACACGTTTCCAAAACTCTGTAGAGAAGTCTGTACTAGCCGCGCTTTTCAGAATTTTTTTTTTTGCAAATTTTGCCTAACCAGACGTCTGCGGTTGACTAGAATAGTGGTTTTTTTTTTTTTTTTTTTTTTGCAATTGATATGTTAATTTTTATATAATCGAAAAAAATATTTTTGAAATTTTTAAAATTTTTTATGTACTTTAAAATAATTTTGAGTTAGATGTTTAGTTATGAGTTGTAAATTTTTGTATCAAATATTAAATGTCACATCAACAATTCCCGACTCAAATTAAAATTCTTTTCAAAACTATTTTCAAAACTCTTACCAAACAAATTTTTACGCTCAAATCATAATTCCAAACCCCACTAACTCAAAATATAACTCATACTCTCAAATCATAATTACAAAACTCTACCAAACGCAATCTAAATTTTTTAATAGATTTTTTGACTCAAAAGAAGTAGAAAAAAAAAATAATAATAATAATTTGACAATTTATACTAATTTTTATTTATTTTTTTAAGGGAGATTTGGTGATAGCCCACTCACTATCTAATTTGTCTTTCAAAAGGACAAGAATTATATAAGTACTTTCAAAACCCATAATATTTTACAACTTGTTTCTTTACATATTACCCTCATATCTATCAGCTCTCCTATTAAGCCATTCACTGTGTATTTCGGAGTAAAATTTTACTCTGTATGAAAGTAAAATTTTACTCTGAATAAGAGTAAAATGTTACACTCTGAAACTAAAGTAAAATTTTACTCTGTATAAAAGTAAAATTTTACTCTGAATAAGAGTAAAATTTTACACTCTGAACTAAAAGTAAAATTTATTCTGTATAAAAGTAAAATTTTACGCTGAAAAACAAGTAACCTGTGAGACTCTGAAACTAAAAGTAAAATTTTACTCTGTATAAAATTTTACTCTGTATAAAAGTAAAATTTTACTATGAAGAGAGTAAAATTTTACACTCTGAAACTAAAAGTAAAATTTTACTCTTAAAAATAAGTAAACTGTAAGATTCTGAAGCTAAAAGTAAAATTTTACTCTGTATAAAAGTAAAAATTTTACTGCTGTAAAC